CCCCAAAACCCCAAAACCCCAAAACCCCACTTGAAAGTATATGTAAATGATTTGTATGTGTCAGATAATATAAATTATTTATCTTTTATTTAAAATATATGGCGAACAAACTTATTTATCTTATACTTGTCTCAAGTATTATACTTTTGCAGACTACTAATTAGCAATTTCCAAAGATTAACTTCGGTTTTAAGAAGAAGAATTAGGATAAGAAAGATCTACCTAAAGCTTCAGAAAATGAAAATAACGAGTAGCAAAAATAGAAAATCCTTGATAAAATAAACTAAGATCATCTAAATATAGAGAACGATTTATCTCTTCACGAGGATGCACCTTAGTCAAAGCATTAATAAAGCGGTTAGGGAAATGTAGCTTTCTAAGAAAATGAGGAGTAACAACATGCGAGAACAGATGAAGCATAGGATTTAAATGCAGAAAAAGAAATTAAGTTAGAATTAGTGCACCAACATTAAATAAATTAACCTGAACTTGAAAAAGAAGAAGAATATGATGATGAATTTGAAGATAATTAAGGAAAAGAAGTTAAAATTGAGGCAGATGATGAAAGATAAGCTTAATCGAATGTTTATGCAAGAAAACCTTAACAAATTCAATATTAATCACAGTAATAAAAGCATTAAACTGTCGAAAAAATATAATTAGAAGGTTAAGCAGCATCAGAAAATCACTAGGAGCCAGTTATAAATCGCGAAACTCATCATAGAGTACTTGATGAAAATATATAAATCATGGATGAGCAACCTTAGATGAATTAAGAAGTTTAAGATCAAGAAATTAATAACAAAAATAATAACAATCATGACCATAGTCATCATGATCATTAAGATCATTCCCATGACCATCATGATCATAGTCATTAGCATGCTTAAGGCCATCACCATGACCCTTATGTGGTACTTGACCATTCTCATTAGCCCCTTTCAGCCCAATAATAGGAACAATAGTAAAAGCATAATCATAGACATGATGTCAACGAATAAATTCTTAAAATAACACCCAAAACTTTATATAATACTCAAACAGTTTCTCCCTCGAATCCCTTCTCAATTATGGAATTTATCTCAGGAATAACCACTCTATTTGACTATCAATATAGAATTGAAAAGTTCCATAAACTGAGCCATAAATACACTAAATTCATCAGAGAGGAATATGATATCTAAGAGCCATTTGATAAAGTCATCTTCTCCTTCGTTTTCACAATTATTATCTACTCGATAGTTTGCTTAAGCAAGTAATTGCTGAAGAATAGTCTTTAAAAGCGTTAGAGATATTCTTTCAACCAACCAGATTTCTCTGAGATAGCAGTACTTAACTAAACAGTTAAAAAGATAGGCATTGATGTATTAGATATTTACAAGCAATTAGGTCAGAAGCCCATCGAAAGTAACTCATCAAGCAGTTTAATGTAAAATGCTAATGATTTAATAATTAAAAAATTCGATGAAATTAATAAACAAATTATCAGTATGGACTAAATAAAAAAGGTCTTAGATGAATAAATTCAATAATCAAGAGCTATAGATTAAAGTCAATAGCAGAAGTAAGATTTAATCACCTAACTTAGCTTGTAACTTTAAAACCTAGAGTTAAAGCTTAATATTCCAATATAACCAAAATAAGTAGATGTCATTAAGAAGAATGAAAATCCAATCAAGTAATAAATTCAACAGTAACCTCATATTAAAACTGAAAACATTGAACAATAGAAATCTTCTTCTCAATAAGTGCAACCATTTATGATGACAAAATAGCCATAGGTGAAATTAAATCAAGCAAATTAATCCCAAAATGTTAAATAAGTTGAAGATAATAAGGCAAAAGAAAGTATGGGAGAAGCTTAAAATTAGAAAGCAAAACAATAAGATTAGGATTCAAATGAATAAGAAACAAGAATAAAATAGCAATAAAAGCCTAAAGAAGAATAATCAAATCCAAAATAAGAGCAGTCTAATTAAAATTCACAAGCTATTCCCACTATCGGTGGATAAATTTAAACTTCTATTCCAATTTAGTAGAACTAGCCAAGGATGAATTCACCATTCTAGCCACAGAGATTTGGAGCACCATAAATGAGACCCGGAGTTCCAGGTGGTCATACCATGAGACCAGGTGGGCCTTAAGGAATGATAAGGCCATAAGGTCAAGTCCCAGGAGGAATGAGACCATTCCCAATGAGATAACCTTTACCATAACAGTAGGTTTAATCTACAATTTAATAGCAACTACCAGCATAATAATTGCAAAGCTAAGAAAAGATTACTGAATAAAAATAAGATTTAACTGTGAATGCTAAGAAGCAAGAAATTGAAAAGAAGCATCTACAAAGAAACAAAGAACTGACTTGGAACAGAAATTCGGTACTCGTTTTTCTGCTCTACATGATTTGGAATACCTTGATCTTGTTCGTTGTACTGCCATTGATCCTATGCATGGCCTTTTCCTAGGAACAGCAAAGAAAATGATTAAGATATGGCGTACTACTATCTGTGACCTTACCCATGAACTATATTTAACTGATGCTGACTTGAAAGAAATGCAAAAGGAAGCAAACGATATCGTACTGCCAGCACAATACACGCCAATCAATCAGAAAATTGCCAGCAATTTTTCTGACTTAAAGGCTGATGAATGGAGAACCTGGTGTCTTGCTCTTTCTCCTCTTTTGCTCAAGTCTCGTCTTCCAGTCCGTCATAAGGAAAATTGGGCAAAGTTTGTACAGGCCTGTCATCTCGTATGCCGTCTTCTGCTTGAAAA